CACGTCTGCTTTGTGAGGATCAACAGCTCCCTGGCCGTGGCTGCCCACGAGGACGGTGAGCAAGCACAACTCTCCTCCCTATTAAAACAACAGCAAAAAAAAAAAAAAAAAAAAAGGCTTCACAGAAATGAAGCAGCTGTGCTCAGCTTTTTGTGTGTCTGTAATCCTGTGTATCCACACACACGCACACACTTGCTTTTATGTGAGAAAGTTGGCCAATAACCCTAAATGCATTAGGAGGCATTGGAACATAGCACCCATTAAAGCTGAGCTTTAATTCCTACTGGAGCTGCTGCACAAAGCTTGAGTGCCAGGCTGTAGTCCAGCCAAGCTATCTTAAGCAAATAACTTGTTTTGCTATAAAAATATTAAATATTCTTCCACCAGCCTTCTCCTCTGGCCAAAACTCCCTTGGGGTGCTGTGGAGCTTTGTTATGGGGATGGTGGTAAACTTGGATGGCTGATTAATCCCCATCCCTCTCGCTCTTGGCGTGGTGTGTGGATGCACTGAAGTGTTGGTTTGCAGTGCTGGGTTGTTGTTATATACTTGGATTTAAAGAAATGAAAGCTTTCACCTAATATTTAGTGAAACCCTCATAAAATCCTGGTTGTGTGCATTGTTTTAAATATCCTTAGAGGGTTTCTGTAATGGACAACAAGAGCCAGAGACCAACATCTTCTGGATGTGGGAACAGCAATTAAAAAAGTCAGGTTTGGACAGTACCGACCGACTGGGATCCTAAACTGAGGTGCTTGGGCAGAACTCCACTCCCATCATCTTTAAAATATAAAATTTGATACTTAAAATGTCTCTTGGGTACAAATAAAGAATATTTGTAAGTTTAGAGAGCTTTGTACACACACTTTGGTCCTTGTTTTCTACAGATGAAAACAAAACAGAAGGTGGATAATCCAAACAAAATCCCTAATCTCCACTTTTATTTTAAAGTAAATTAAATGCTTTATGTGTTTTAAGATTCTCAGCATCCTTAGCTGGTTTTCTAGCTTGGATCATGCCAGGATGTTTTTCTGTGAGTAAAAATTGTTAATAGGCAACATTTTCTGACAACAGCAAATCTGGTGTTATTAATATTATTATATAAATTATAACACAGGTTTAAGTGCTGGCTTTTTTTCCAGTGTTCCAAACAACGACTAGCAGAGGGTCTTTTGTTTGTTTTCTAGTTTCCCACTGACTAATCTAATAATTTGTCTGGGTTTTTTGCCTGTCATATCCCTTGCTGTCAGTGCTGTGACTGAACTAGTTTGCATAAAGCTCGGCGTCTTTTATTCTTTTGGGTAGAGATTTTAATAGGCTCTGTGATATGGCAGTTACTCTGATTTGAGAAGCCTTGGTCAGAATAGATTAGTTTCTATGGGAATAGGGAAATAAAAAGACCCATTTTAGCAGTGTTTACTAACTGCAAGCCGAAAGCACATATTTACAGTTTGCTGGAGTGAGTTATTTTAAATTTTGGGGAGGGAGCGGACGGCTTTGAAGATAATGTGTTTGATTGTTCTTTGTTGTACTTTTGCAGCTCCCTTTCCTCTTTGTCTGTAAGTTTGACTAACCCAGAGGAGCCATCTGCTCGCGTTGGAGGTGGTGCTGTCAGGCAGTCTAGACTTCCCTGGCGAATCCCTGGCTGGCCCCGACACCATCCCTGGCTGCTCCCGCGGTGCTGGCCCCGCTTCCCATCCCAGGGAGGGGCTGGCAGGCACTGTCTGCCCTGCTCTGCCCTCAGCTCCTTCCCCAGGCACACCAAGGACACGGGGATGTCCTCCTGGGATGCCCTGGCCAAAGTGGGTTGTCACTCCATGGTGGCCCTGGAGGAAACGGGGTTGTGGTTGCTGATGGTGCCAGCCTCGGGCTGCAGGGATGGGGAGAGGAGGGAGGAATGGATGAGGAGCAAATGAAGTTCCCTGTGCCCGTGCCAGCGCTCAGTGGGGGCACTGGATGTACACCTGGGGCAATGCGACTTGGCAACTCGAGCCACAGTTGTGATTTTTGAATTCCAACCCACTGGCCTCATATTTCTTCTGCCTTGTTTCCTATTGTCAGCACTGGCAGTGCTCCAGTTTGATTTTACCACTAATTGTGTTGCACGTTACCGAACTGAAATGAATCAAATCAAAATGCTTTTCCTGGAGCATTAGATAAAGCAGGCGAGGGTTCTGGGTAATGAGCAGATGCTGCTAATGCAGGGACAGGAGAGGCCTTGCCAGGACTCCATCTGCTCCATGCTTGCCTGCCTTTGGCTGGGAGCCACAGCTTTTGGGAAACAGCAGTCTGCTTCAGCCATCCCTCTCCCCCCTGCGCTCTGGAGCTGCATGGTTTGACTGGCAAACAATGTGCAGCAACAGGAGAACAGAACTTTTTCCTGCTGTCCTTTAAATGCCACGGCCACCCTGCTGCAGGCACGGTGGGAGCATGGCGCTCTGCCCTGCTTGTACCCCCTCAGGCCCATCTGAGGAGCTGCTGGCTTCCCAAGCTGCAGGGGAAGCACAGGAGGGTGCTTGCTGCAGGGTCAGAGGTGCTCCTGCCTGCTGCAGCCTCCAGGAGGGGAATTTTGGCAGTGCTGCTTTTTGGATTTCTGTGCTCTGTCCTTTCTGGTGCCCCTAAAGCTGCCTGGGGGTGTTGTCCCTTCTGTACCCTCTTTGCAGAGTGATGGGTTTGGTGTCCCTGAGGGCCAGGATGTGCTCCAAGAGAGCAGCAACATTCCAGGCTGGCTGGAGTGAAGGAAAAAATGTCTGAAAGCAACTGCAGGAGAGGGGCTGGGATGTTTATTCCCATTGGGTGCAGATCTCTTGGTTTGGGTGAGTGCAGTGTGATTTCCCATCCTGGTCATCCCATTCCCCACAGGGTCTGTTCCTTCTCTGAGGGACTGTCCAGGGATGGTGTTGTGTGGAAATCCTTGGAAAAAGGGTGGTGGGGATTAAAATCTGGGAACATTTGGTGGGAACTGGAGTGGTAATGGTAGTGTGAGGGAAAGGCTGTTGTCACTGAGGTCTGATCTCACTGTTTGTACCCTCAGGACCTGCTGGAAGTGAAAATTAAATGTGAAATGTTGGTTAATGAACTTCAAGTATTTACTAAGGTTAAATTAGTGTTTACCAAAACACAACTAGAAATGTTTTTGGGAAAAACTCAAAAATTCACAGCAACAAGTTTTGATCCTCCAGGCTGGTGCTCATTTTCACCCATGCTTTTCTTATATGGCTTGTACTTCATAGAGATATGATATAGCTGAAAATTATAAGGAAATAAATTCATATTCCCACTTTGGAGCAAGAAACCCCACCTGTGTGGAGCCAGAGAATCACAGAATAGCCTGAGTTGGAAGGGACCCACAAGGATCATCAGTTCCAAGGGTTTTCTAAAGGTGAAATAGAGTTTTATTTTATTTAAATCAAGGTGGCAAGGCCACAGCTCTGAAACAGGACATGCACCATGGAGATGATGTGAATTCAGCACCTTCTGGCCTTCCCAGGCTGTTGTGTTTAGAAGCTGAAGGGAATGAACGTGTAAACCATGAGCACATTTGGATTCCCTGCTCCAGCACAGACAAAATTCTGGAGTTTTAAATTATTTTTTTTCCACATAATGCACATGTAGATTGCTTTACACCTCTCCCAAAGCTGGCAGCAGCCACCAGCTGACAGCAAATGCTGGTTTTAATGTGGAAGAGCTGATGCAAAGGGTCTTTAGGATCTGAGCTGGGATCTTCACAGCCACATCCAAGTTCCCCAAGCAGGCAGCTCAGGTGGGCAGTGCCAGCTGTGCCCAGCTCAGGAGGGGCTCAGACAGGCTCTGTGACACTGCCAGACACAGCCAGCATAATATTTACAAATGAGATTTAACTCTGTTTGCTCTGTGGTTGTGCTGCCTTGCCCTGTCGGAGGATTAGGGGATTTTAAAGGAAAAAAAAGATACTTGGGTTTGTTTAATTTTGTAACAAATGCATTGCCTGTAATAGCAGAGAGAAAAACCTGTGTGAACACAGATGTAACAGCTGCTTTTGCAGGGTGTCTTCTGTGCTGCCAGCACTGCTGGTGGACAGAGAGGAGCTCCAGCCTCCCACCCCTGTGCAGGGCTGGTGATGCTCCCAAAACGTGGGGCTCAGTCAGGACCAGCACTGCCCTCTGAGGCACAGCACCTCCTGCTCAGTGTTCTCTCCAAGTGCTTTCCAGGCTGGAGTCAATGGCAATACATGGACCTTTCAGCAGGCCACAATTCAGGAATATATGGGTTGGGAGTTGAATTTTTTGTTAAATCTGGGGCAAAGTGATAAATGAGGCTGGTGCAGTGATTGTCAGCATTACAGCAGCAGCAGCAGCTTCTTGCACTTCTTTTCATGAGCTGTGATGACTTTCCAGCTTGCTCATAATTTTAAATAATTTTGGGGAGTTACTGTTAGAATTCAGTTGGAATAATCACAATTATGGTGCAGATTTCAGCGTGCTGTGAAACCGCTGCTTATAATTTTCATTTCGTGATCTTCTGACACTTGGTAAGATTTCAGTATTATAAAAAATAAAAAAAGATAACATATGGCTGCAACCTTAACTTCACCTCAGCAGAGGAATTGCTGTGGAAATGAGGTGCTGGGCAGTGCTGGAGGCAGGAAGACAGACTGTGGAGAGCAGTGATCTCATCTGCACTGCTAAATCTTTGCCTGATTTTTTTTAGTGCCACACTAATAACCTGAACTGGAATGGTGTGGGATTTTTTTGCTCTTACCCGAACGTGATTGACTGCTGCAAGGACTTGCACACCCATAAATACCTTTTGTTGTTTCTGCAGTGAAATGCAGAATATTCTGAGCAGCACTTTTAGCCCTCATAGCAGCTTTACCTATTTATAAATCCAGTGGAGTGTTTGCTTTTTCTGTTTTCCTTCTGTCCTGATCTTTGTGGCTCCCTTCCAATTCAGGATATTCTTTGAACTCTCCAAGTTACTCTTTACTTTCTGCTTCTTCATCACATGTGAATTTGTGACCTTACAAGTCACTTTTTGTTTAGATTACCAGAAATGTTTTGCCCATATCATGTATCATT